AGAGAAATAATAGTTCCGAAATCTGAAGAGGCTTAATCTCAAATATTTCAAAGAATAAGCTGCTTTTCATGTAAATATTCGATTTCTTGTTTCCTTTAGAAAAACCCAGATGTTTGAAGAACTTAATTTACAACGTTGAATTGTTAGCTTGCTATGTTGATTACTATGTTAGAACAAAGAAGACATTTCATCTTCATCCGTTGAGTACTTCCCACATTCAAATAGGAATGGACCGAGGGGTTGGTCGTTCATATTTTAGTTATTTCTACCATAATCTGATTTCGCCCCAGAATTTTATAAGTTCACCTCTAACATAAAGTCTCGAGTCAATCCTACAACCAAAATGTATGTGTGTGTTTGTAATTTGTTAGCTTTAGAACCAATGGCAATCTGTGTGACCCTTTGGAATTGTGCATTGTAATTGTGATGTTGGGGAATAGGTGGGATCAACTCTTAAAATTTGATTACTTTGACTAGGTGATAGAATGGGGTGATTAGAGAGACGTATCGGCTGAAACAAAAGGAGGCCACCAAATTCAGGGATTGTGCATTCTGTAATTAATTGTGTTGAAATTTTGAGATGGGTGTTAATTATATTTTAGTCCATGCATACTTTAAGGTATTTATAAGATTCCTTAAGCTCCAACTATAAATACCCTAACCCATTTTGCTTCAAATAATTTCAAATCATTCTTAATACTAAAGAGTTTAGAAAGTTTTCTATGATTATGAGTGTTTTGTAAACACATGTAAATTTCTGTCTTTAGTAAAAAATCTGCAACAGTCTGGAGACGTAGGCAAAAATTGGCTGAACTCGTTATCAATTTGTCAATTTTATGAGAACTATTCATTGAATAGTGAATTCGTGAATAGTGAAATTTGGTCGGCGATATAAATTTGTCGACGGAGGTGTTCTAATACACGGTGGTTCACAGAAATTGTCAGAACGATCCAAAAGAAGCCAGATTCGAGTGGGAGCGATGGCTTTGAGAAACGAAGGGATGAGCTCAAGAGGGAGCTGCATATGCAAGGGAGCAATGAGTGAATGGGATGCGCTCATACTTCTTGGAAGGACTTAGACCAGGGGCAATGCTCGGGGGGAGAGCAATGTGATGCCCGAGACTTTCGAAAGCATAGCTGTAGCCGGAAAGCTGATTGAGCTTGCAGATGTCAAGTCAAGTAGCAATGTGTCGTGCAATGAGTGAATGGGATGCGCTCAATACCTTCTTGGAAGGACTTAGACCAGGGGCAATGCTCGGGGGAGAGCAATGTGATCCCCAAAGACTTTCGAAAGCCATAGCTATAGCCGGAAAGCTGATTGAGCTTGCAGATGTCAAGTCAAGTAGCAATGTGTCGTCCAGGCCCATGCCCAGGTATAGTGGCAATAGTGGGAGGGACCGAGAAAAGGTGCAGCAGGGAGATGATAGAGAAAGCTCTTCGAGTGGCCAAGGCGAGCCATCGACTGTTCGTAGCCAAGGAATATCATCGGGAAAGAATGACAAAGTTAAGATCGGTGCAAAGAAGAAAGCGAGCAAGGAAAAGCTTAAGTGCTACTTCTGTGCTGGTCCTCATTTGATTAGAGGATGTCCCGAGAAGCGTTGCCTTACAACTATCATGAAGAGGATAGGAGAAAGAGAAGTAGCAGGAATTGCGGAGGAACAAGTGTTAAAGCTGCCAAGTCAATAAAAAGACTTGGTCCGATTGAGGGGATCAATGCGGCCAAGCAAGGATCAAGAAGAGGCAAGGCTATTGATGTCGAGGCAGTCGAACCCAGAGGAAAGCTCGATGCGATTGCGAATGTTCAAGCAATCAAGTCAGGAGCAAAACTTGGTGAGGCTACGTGTTCCAAAGTAGCCGAATCAAGGGGCAAGCATGGTGCGACTATAAGTTCTCAAGTAGTCAGCCCAGGATCAAAACGTGACGAGACTGCAAGTGTCAAAGCAGTCGAGCACAAGAAGGGACCCGGTGCGATAGCAAGAGATAAAGCCATCAAGCCAAGGGTGCAGAGTGAGCAAGTCCGCTCACAGTATGCCAGGATGGAGGCGTGGTTCAAGTTGAGGTGTCTCAAGCATAAAGGGACACTTATTTAGTATGTGAGTCGATTCAGAAGACTCGTGCTCAAAGTCCCAAGTTTGACTGAAGAAGATGGATTTTTTACCTTCATGTTCGGATTGAAGCCATGGGCGAAGAGAGTGTTGGAGCGAAGGGAAGTCAAGGAGTTGTCTAAAGCCTTGACAACCGCTGAGTCCATCAAAGAATTTGGCAAGTCAGAGAATGAGGAAGTTGTTGTCTCTCGAGTGGCAGAGAAAATCCACTCAATGATGAACCAAATGGTGAGTCTGGGGAAGATGCATGCAGTCTTGGAACAAGTTCGAGTGTCAAAGATGCTAAGATGAGGGTAAGAGTTGAGCAAATGAGGGAGCGTAGACTTAAGATGCCAGAAGTGTTGCAAAATTACCCGAGGGGAGCTGAGTCATCCAATGTGATAGAGAGCCAAGATCGAGTTGTCCAGAGAAGAGGATGAACCCAGGATCGAAAAGGCGTTGAGGCTTGGCTCAGTACAGTTCATTTCTGGCAAGGCAAGTAGAAGCCAAGTGTAGGAGGAGTTAGTCATGTCCAAGGAGTTTGCCGAGCATGTTCGTGTAGAGAACATGGCTTTAGAGACCATTATAAGAGAAGGGTCGAAGTAGGGGCTTACTGAGAATGTTCAAGTGAGGAACAATCCTTCAAAGATGGTGACTACGAACAAAATGAAGTTATGTTCAGCTGCAGTTGGCATGCTAAAGTAATAAGACCAGAAATGCTGCTGCATTGATCGAGGTGTGAAGACAGATTAAAATCAGTCTTCAAGTGGGAGATTGTTAAAGTTAAAAAAAAGGGGCTGCATTTTCAACAAAGTGAGGCCACCGAATTCGGTGGATTGTGCACCGAATTCGGTGCAATTAATTGTGTTGAAATTTTGAGATGGATTAATTATATTTTAGTCCCTGCACACTTTAAGGTATTTATAAGATTAATCCTTAAGCTTCAACTATAAATAAACTAACCCATTTAGCTTCAAAATCATCCCAAATCATTTATTTCTCCCAACACTAAAGAGTTTAGAAAGTTTTATTGTGAGTTGTGAGTATTTTGTTAACACATAAATTTTCTCTCTTTAGTAAAAGATCTACAGCAGTCTGGAGACGTAGGCAAATATTGGCTGAACTCCGTTATCAATTTCGAGTATTGTTTTTCGCTTTTATTTAACATTCTCACTAATCTGGTTATAGGGAAATTACTCGTACTCGGTTTATTTCCCAACAAATCCCTGCAAACAAAATGTATGTGTGTATTTGTAAATTTGTTAGCTTGGAACCAAATGGCAATCTATGTTACCTTTGGAATTGTGTGCATTTGTACTTGTGATGGGGGAATATGTGGGATCTAACTCTCAAAATTTGATTACTTTGACTAGGTGATGGAATGGGTGATTAGAGAGACCGTATCGGTTGAAAGAATTAGACTACTCTTACCTATTGGAATTTACAACTAAACTCCATGGCATATCACAAGGTGAAAAGCTATTGCTCTACAATAATCTTGTGATTGCATGCTTGGATAAAGGCCTGATAAGGCTTTTACTCGAGTACTTGAAGAAAATGAGGGAATTAAGGCACCCTGTCTCATACTTGGTTTTCAACCGTCTGATAATCCTCCATTCATCTTTGGGACGTAGGAAGACTATTCCTAAAATTCTAAGTCAAATGAAGGCAGATAAGGTGGTTCGACACGTCTCCACCTACAATATTCTCATGAAAATAGAGGCAAATGAACACAACATTGAAGGGTTGGTAAAGGTTTTCAATGATATGAAGCAAGTAGAAGTTGATCCGAATGAGGTATCTTACTGCATACTAGCTACTGCACATGCAGGGGCAAGGTTATACAGCAGCTGAAGCTTATGTTGAGGCTGTTGAGGAGGCTATGACTGGAATAACTGGTCAACGCTAGACGTCCTAAATATATTGTTTGGGTATTTGGGAAAAGGGAAGGAAATAGAGAGAACTTGGGGCACTGTGCAAGAGTTCCCCCATGTTCGATTGAAGAGTTATATTCTGGCAATTGAAGCATATGGTAGGATAGGAAAGCTAAGTCAAGCTGAAGAACTTTGGACACAAATGAGCTTTCTCAGCAAGGCAACCGTGGTTTTCAGAGAAATGAGGATGAATGGACACATAAGACTGGTGGAGGAATGCTTGAAGACTCTAGAAAAGGGGATGAATTTGACAACATGCAACAAAGTCAGATGTTCGACACCATGGTTGGAGACCACCTTTTCAACATTTCAATGGTAGAAATTTTTGCTGAAAACGGTGATGTGAAGAATGCTGAGAAGTTATTTGATCCCGGTATACTTTTGTGTACAATACTTTGATCAAGGCTTATGTGAAGGCCAAAATCTATGATCCTAATCTTTTGAAAAGGATGATTCTCGGAGGAGTGAGGCCAGATACTGAAACCTATAGCTTACTGAAACTTATAGCTTACTGAAACTTATTGACCAGTTTCAAAGATAAAATATAAAGCATGTATCGTTAGGACTTATTAATTGTATTTATTCTTTCCCATTGATCCTTCTCAAGAAAATTAATGTCTTGTACATTTGGTCAAATTGGTATGTCACTGTGAAAATTATATTATTGTTGAAAGTATATTCTGGACAAATTTGTGCAGCTTATTAGGAAAATCATTGATCTTACAGAACTTAAATTATTATGAACATGCAAATTAAATGAGCTGCATTCAACCTCTTCCTTTGCTTCACTGCTCAAAATCTCTACTCAAATAAGAAGCTATGGTTAAAGGAGATTGATGGCATAATCCTGTTATTTTAATGCAACCATGTTTTCTTACAACCAGATAAATTCACCAAGGAAATGAGGGGGGAAAATAGGATCACACTACTCAGAGATACTTGATATTCAAGAAAATAAAGCACAATCAGTTTGCGGTTGTTTTCACATGTTGTTTAGGAACACTGAGGCAGTGGCAATGGCACCGCCTGTGAATGCATCTGATACAATTCGTTCTTTGTCGTTGTTGGTGGCCGCAGAGACGATGGCCCCTGTTAGGGCTCCTCCGATCATGGCATTCTTCTGTAACACAATGCCACATCCGAAAAAGAATCGAACTTTAAATCGCTATATATCGAGATTATTATCAAAATGGATCTTGAATCCTTCTAATAGCATTATCATTTTCCCCTGTACTGTGAAAAATAGTGGACATTAATGGACAAGTCTGGTGAACATACCCAGTCCGTTGGGCAACGGATCCTCCCTACCCCATACTCCATTCCCACATATACTCCAGCTACAGTTCCTATGAGCAACAAAGGGTAGGCAAAAATAGCAATCATAATCATGGATGGGAAGGTCATATATGTAGTTTCATCAACATAGATTTAAATTGCGGTTGAGGTCGCGATTTTGGTTGCGATATGCTTGTCGCGACTATGGCAATAGCATGTGCTAGTACGGTCATAACAGGTTTTGGACGGCACCTTTGTCGTTATATAACAGCCGCTATTCCAATAACAAATTGCTATTTAAATCTCTGGTTTCGTATACTTACCCCAATAAGCACTCTCTTTGCACATCTTCTTGACCTGCAACAACAAACATTTCACAGTAATAAGCTTTTGATGCTGTACTTGATAAGACAATAACAGCCGAAGATCCTAAGCATCCATTAAAATGCAGCTAAGAAGAGAAAAGGGAACTGCTTACAGAGTGCTCCAAACAGTGTTTTGATATCTTCCCTGCAGAAACACATGAGAAGTTGACATGAAAACAAATACAATCAACACATAAAAAACAATTTGGGAAAAAAGAAGTGAATAAAACCTCTATTGATAGCTTTAAATGAATCATCTGCAATTGACCTCGTAGCTGCAACCTGAAAAAGAAGCCATGGCAATGGCATGATGGAAATGCCAAAGAAAAGTTTTTCTAAAAGAAAGAAAGAGAAAGGAGCATAAATTACAGTTCCAATCTTCAAGAAACCATCTGAAGTGTGATTCAGAATATGATTGCCGGTGTCAATTGTAATATCGACCCTTGGTGTTGACAATGAACCAAAAAACCTGCCTGATGGCATTTCTTCTTCTTTACTGGATTTAAGAAATTCTGTTTTATTGAAGATGCGTGCATTTATCTTCTACTTCTTAGAAAGTGAAAATAGTTTGATTGAATGCAATTCCCGATATCATAGCATCCGCCTCTCATATTTTATTTTCCCATTTGACACATTCTGAACGACCTTCCTGCAACTCGATTGCATAGTATGCTTCATATAATTTAACCCCAACGTTTATTATTATTATTATTATTATTATTATTATTATTATTATTATTATTATTATTATTATTGAGTATTTTAGACACCAATCTTTCATTTTAGATTAAAAAGATCTCTAACGAATGATAATTTAAATATCACATTTAGGCGGTGAGCATTTAATCGAGTTGAGTCGAATTAAAAAATTTTAAGTTATTCAAGTTGACGAATCTTATTTTATAACTCAAATTTAATTGAAAAAAATTTCGAGTCGAGTCTATAAAATTTAGTTCGAGTCGAGTTGTTTGAGTTTTTGTTTAAATTTAATTATAAATATTTATAATATGATATTATTTGATTTCAGTTTAAACAATTTTCTATAATCAAATACAATGCATATATATTTCTTCATTTTTTTCATATGTGATATACATATATCATTCAAAGTCAAGGGACTCGAATGAAACTTGAAAATAAATCTACTAATTAATAAAAAAAAATTGAGTTATTCAAACTACTATTCGAGTTATTCAAACTCTATTTTATAACTCGACTTGAATTAGAATTATTTTCGAGTCAAGTCAAGTTTATAAAATGACAGCTTAAAATCAATTTGAGTAAATTTCTTCGAATAGTGTCCAGTTTTATTCTCCCCTTACTACATTACATATTTCGACAAACTATAAGCATCGCATTGCATATTTTAAAAGTACATGTATCATGTTGTAAATTTTCATAAAGTACAAATATTATATTATTTTTTTCTTAAAATACAAGTACCAAATGTAATTATTAAAACACATTTTGTGAAAATGTGGCATTACAAGTATTATTATAAAAAATAAATTTATTTCGTGATATATAATTTTTTTTAATAAGATGAGTATCTCATGCATAACACGAGTTTATAACAAGTAATTATTGAGAACACATCAAATAACTTTAGAGAATATTATTCTCCTTAATAATTTTAAATTTAAATAATTGTATCTAAAAAAAACGTGTTATCAATAAATTTAAAAAATAATACATTATAGACTATAAAAATACTATATTGTTTGAGATGATCGAAACCAAAACAAATCAAATCAAACTGTATACTCCCAAAACCCAACTTGAACATCAATGGTCCACCATGTTTAAATTCCCTGTATATAATATAAGAGTAAAGACAAATTCATGAAACCGCAACAATTTAATCCCCACTCATGCACTTCATGCAAGTAGACGCGGCTTCAAGTACACACGAAGCCCTTTCTTCATAAACAGTGTGAGAGACATCTTCTGCTCCACCCAGGGCCGGTTCTGACTTTTTTTTAGCACGGGACAAAATTAAAAAAATTAGACCCTAATTTAAAAAGAATATTAAAAAATATGTAATATAAAATTTTAATTAATTTTTTATTAAATTAAATAAATATTAATTCATTACAATATAAAAAATGTCAAAAACATATTTAAGTATATAAATACTTATAAAAAACATTGTCTTCGAGCATTTCTTGATGCAAAATCATTGATGATAGTGTCAACATCAATGTTTTCCAACATATTTTTTTCAATATATAACATAACTAGCCCATTCAATCTTTCTTGTGACATTGTTGACCTCAAGTAATTCTTCAATAATTTCAGCTTTGAAAAATTTCTTTCCGCGGATGCTACCGTTACCAGCATTGTTAATAAGATTCGATAAGCAATTGAAACATTAGGATAACAATCTCTAGCTTTAACAAACTCAAGAACTTCAAGCGCTGACATGAATACATTTGGCAAAGTCAATTGCAACACTTTATTTTCAGAAAAAAATCATCTGCATCAACATCCGACAAATTATTATAAGAAAAATTAATCTTAAAATTATTACATTATTCTTTTAATAAGTCAATAAGAAATAAGTTTATGGGCCCTGCTTTTAATTTAGTTTATTAATATTTATGAGCCCTTCTTTTAATTTAGTATATTAATATAATTTTTAACGTTATGATAAGAACAATAAATCAATAAGAAATAAGTTTATGGACCCTCTGGTATTAATATAATAAAATGATATATTAATATTTATAAGCCTTATTTTTAATTTAATTTATTAAAATATAATAAATTAATATAAAATTAAAATTATGGGCCCTGGGCGGGTGCCCCTTTTGCCCCTGCCCAGAGCCGGCCATGGCTCCACCCTATGTCCAGGCACCGGCGAAAGCCGATAACGCAGCAAAATGGCCGACGCCACCGACTTCATTTGAAGGTAAGCCAAGTCTTTCCCCAAACAAGTCCTCGGTCCGGCATTGAACGCTACAAACTTGAAACCATCTTCGGTGGTTCGAACTTGTCACCTTCCGGTGTTAGCCACCGTTCGGGCCTGAACTCCAACCAATCATCTCCCCATATCGTCTTCATTCTTCCGACCGAATATGTCACTGTTGAGCCGGCGGGAACGAACGTGTCGTCCGGTAAGACATCATCTCGGACCACATACTTGAAGTCATGTGGAACCGAGGGGTATAGACGAAGTGTTTCGGCTAATGCTGCTTTGAGATATACCAGCTTGTCAGATTCATCGAACATTAGGGTTTGAATCTGGACCACGGGTTTTGAGGAGAACCGTTGATATTTCGTCGATGATCTTTTGTTCAACCTCGAGGTGATTCATTGTTAGCCAGAAAAACCAGCTGAGGGCCACGGAAGAGGTGTCACGGCCGGCGAGTACGAAGTTTAGAGCAATGCGTTGAAGAAGGGTGCCCTCGACATCTTTCTTCTTCATGAAACGTGACAATAGATCATCTGAGGGAGCTTCTTTTCGTGCTTCAATGGCGTCGTTCATGTAGTTTTCGATAATCCTGAGGCTATTCTTTAATCTCTTCTCTGGTCCAATCCCAAAAATCTTCTGCAATCTCCATAATAAATCAGGGTAAAGAAGCCTTTTGAGAGTAGCTTCAGTAGCTGCATCAAAAGCAATAGCAAATGGATTTTCAGGTAATCCAGGAGATAAAAGTATCCTGATCATTACCAAAGGTAAGTCCACAAATATTATCAAATGTTAAACGAAGCAACAAGTCCTGCAAATCCATTGGCTTCTTCTCATTCGATGCTTCGTCCAAAATACACCATAGCCGATTCTTCATCGTCCGATTCACCCACCGACCCATGGCTTGCTTGAGAGACCTTGTGGTGAACTCAAGCGCAGCTGTTTTCTTCTGCATGAGGCAAGCCTCCCCATCGCTATTGAAGATCCCTTGCCCCAAAAGATCACGAAATGCAGCTTGCCAATGAGGCCCTTTGGGGTAATTATTGAACCTGGTACGAAGAACATGCTCGATGTTCTTCGGGTGACAAGTGACAGTAAAGAACCCTTGCTTCCGAGCCAAGAACGGAACAGAAATAGTACACGTTTGATAGGTTGACGAACCACCTATGGCTCGAAGATGACCAGCGATCCAATCATGGATCCTCGTCCGGTTCATAAATATAAATGGTAGGCTACCGACCAGAGGCCATACGGTTGGACCACTTAGCCTCCTGGCTAGAAGATAGAACCAAATTGCATAAGCAAATATTGTTGCAGCAGCTATGGCACTGAACCCAAATGGAAGGGTTTCCGATTCCATTGAAATGATGCTAAGGTCTAGAATGATTTAACTAGACAGCTCAATTTTGAGAGAGGGGTAGGATTGAAGTTATATATATATATAAAGCGATTGAAATGAGGAAGGTTTAGGAAGAGTAGTTAGGAAAATTTTAGTTTTTTTTTATATAAATTTACTTTAATTCACTCTTATTTTTTAAAAAAAGTTGTATTCTTCGATACTTGATTTATTTATAGGCTTAAATAAAAAAATATCAATGCTACCTAATTATTAAGGTAAACTATACCCATTGATCCCATAATTATAGAAAGATTTCATTTTAAGTATCAATCTTTTAATTTTGTCAATCAGATCATTTAATTATTTAAATATTGTCAATCAAGCTACCAACTATTAAATATTGTTAAAAGAATTAGTATACTAAAAAATTCAGTCCTCAATATTGACATATTTTATCATTTTGGTTATAGAATTAAAACTATTGATAAAGTGTGTAAATATTGAGGATTAAATGTATAATTATTTTATTTTTTACCAGTCATGTCAACTCCTCTATTAAATGCTAATGACTAATGGCTAGATTGACAAGATCAATGATCAAAATGGAATCTACCTCTAATTGAATGGTCATGGGTGTAAATTACCCTAATTATTAAAACTATAAGCTATTAAACGAATACTAAGAAAAACTAAAATATATACTACACTAATTATTAATATATTTATACTTAATATTTACGAGTGATATTGTACTTTTAATGTAGGCTTAATATAAAATAAAGTGTCCAAATTATGCCGCTTTTAAAAGATATTATTTTTAAAGACGGTGTTTATATTTTTTTCCGATCCATCCAGTATCTAACGTTAAACATTACCATTTTGAGTGACTGCATTTGATTAATTAATTTGCTGAAAGATAATGGCATTGGCTGCCAATTAACTATCCTCGGAAAATTCAGTCCAACACAACAGTATTTCACACTTACCGTGTCATCTGTATATTTAATTGGAAGTTATTGTTATAGGTAAACTAAGACAATAAAAAAATGTTCATCCCAACTGGCTCTAAACTCATACAACAATAAATGTTCTTCCCAACTGCTTCTAAACTCAATGATACAACTCTTTAACATGTTTAAAGTTTAAATCACTTATTCTAATTGATCATTTGCATTGCAAAGCAAACAAGTCCATACAACTTAAATAAATTACGCAAATATTTGTTGAATGCCCCACAGGTGTTAAGATAGTCCAAATACAATGCGGCAAATATTTGCCAAATTTCAGTACACCAATAGTTGACTATGTTGCCCGAACTCTTCATTTTTGTTAACCCTTTTCGTGTTCGGACATTGATATAAGAGTATGATCCTCCAAATATATGAAAAGGGAGGAAAATTGAAAGAATTCCCCCCCAAGTCTGGATAACATAAATAGTTACAAATTACAATAACACTACTTTTATCCAAGGAAAATGAAGAGGGCAATGCAATGCATACCTTATTCATTGTTTAAAAAATACTCCTTGAGAATTCAAGGGACAAAAAGCAAGCAGTGTGTCTTCCTGGTTATAAACCAAAATCAATCGTAATATATTTCCCCCCGGAATGCTTTCTTGGCCTGTCATCAATGTAATGAAGATGGTTAACATATTCGTCAGTTTAGGTTCTTTCTTAAGGTATATTATGCTGCTATGACTGTTCCTTTTTCTTTAAGAACCCGTGTCCAACATCAAAACGCAATGCATACATGGACCCGAGGATCGAAATATGCTATAATATCATGAAAATCAATAAAAAAAAATTCAAATTTATCCTCTGTTATCACACTCATACTTCAGTCCAAGTACCTAGTATAAATGAAGTCTACTGCTTATAGATGTTAGTGTTTTTAAACTAAACTAGAATATACCCTCACTACGTTTCAGTAAAATCAAATTAGAATTATAAATATAAATTTTCTTCAAGGTAACATAATATATATATATATATATATCCTTCAAATTCCTTTTGAAGGTGCCTTCTTCCCGGGGGGGGGGTGCTTTTAATTACTTCAGTTAATATTTCCTCAGCTCAATCTGATAAACTCTAATTATTTTTCATGGCATTACCTATGTGTCCTCATCAAAGAAATTCTCAATCTTAAGTTCAGCAATCATTCAATTGGAGACTACTTTTATAGTATGTATAGATGTGGAGATGACACTGGAAATAATATTGTAAAATGGACGAAGGAGATAACTATGCACATGAATACATGTAGTTTTTTTTTATAGGAATGAATACATGTAGTTTAAAGAAAAAAAAGGGACTAAAGATTGAAACTAAAAAGCAGATCTTACTTGCTCAAGAGTCAAAAACATAACCACATTCCAAGATGCCAGCCGGCTAAAATTAGGAACAAAACCCTTGTAAAAGGCAAGGAATCCCTGTGATGCGTCAATGACAAAGTTACTACTCGATATAATAAAGCTTTTCTAGGCAAAAGTTTGTTTCTATCAAATTGTCACAAGATGACTCTTTGATAAAAGGTTAGCAATAAACACGTAATGAACCACAAAAGCCAGATATTTTACAAATCTTGAAGTTAACTAAACAGAGAGAAAGTAATAACGCTGAAGGTAAAATGTTTCAGCCTAGACACATGCAAACAGTTGTAGTTCAGGTACCAATTTTGACACTTACAATACTTTCAACTATCAAGAACATAGAGCAAGAGGAAAAAGAGCGATGAAGAAGGAATCCAGATAAAACAATCAGAAAATCAACATACCTCATTCTTCAAAGTTCTAATGAAACAATCAAGAGTGCTTTTGTAGGCACCATCTCCCATCATTCTTGATTTTACCTGGAACATAACAAGCAGATCCATACATCCCACATAAGTTTTGTTACATTCGTTTATGTGATATCGAGCTCCAAAATCTTCTATAAGAAAAGCCTTGTGTGTTCGTTCCTGTGATGCTTAGAAGACAAAGTAGACCAAAACTGAATTATCAACATGGAAAAAGAGTTGCAATTTAAACTGTATTATATGTGACCATGGCACATCATCTTCTTTAACAACACCAACCTAGAACACCGTTGCACTTTAGCACGTAACGGCACAATGGCTCAGTAATATCCAGTGGTTCTTATCTCTTATATAAGGGTAACCAATCAGAAAAGTTTCATAAAATAGTACTTTCACAAAATGTTGGTTTAAAAGAGACAAACTTTGAAGCATAAATAGAAAAGCAAGATTATAATAAAATTTGGTTTTATGAATGGTGATGCAGGACCTTTTAGTTATTTATATTATTCTTTTACTTCAGTAATATTTATTAACTATAAGATATTATGGACGACTAAGATAGGACATCTTTAGGGTTTCAATTATAAGCCTATGTTTTCTAAAGTTCCAACTTATTTGTTGCTCATTTGTTCAGCCCTAATTCTATTCATTAAATATAGTTTTTCCCTTAAACCACATCATATGGTGATAGAGACAAGTGACAGACATAACTCTAGGTTTGAACCAATCATTAAAATAAAAGCCCAAAGCGGTAGGGCTAAATTTTATGATAGAGATCCAATAATCGAGTTAGAGTTACTAATCTTATAGTTCTTCATGAGTATAGCAGATGATGAAATCAAGATCAAATACCTACCACATCAATTGGAGTACCAATACAGACCGCAAAGAAACCTGCACCGAGACCTGCTAGAAGATGTGTTAGGACATTGTCCGAGAACCCTGGAATTTTCAAAATTGTCTGCATTATATTAAGATTGTAGAAGTTAGAACATTCTCAGAACTACCATGCTAGGAAGCATAGTACCAACTCTATTAAAATGATTTACTTCAAATTTATTTGTTTCAAATTGAAAATTTACTTGTTTCACTTGATCATAACTGGCTAGTTCAGCAGCATTTACAATGGCATTTCGTGCAATGTGGGTCCAAGACCAGTCCACAGTGCTGCTAGTCCTTCCTGATTTGAAAACTTTATATGATAAGCAAACTAATTTCTCATGAAAAAAAAGGATATTATTATTCTGAGAGAACTGACTTCTCTAACTATTGTGTGGTATGCATCCAGAGTCCCATAATAACGCCTAGCAATCCCAGCTGGAAGTTTGCGTTCAGCTTGCAGCCGCACCTTGACAAGATCAGTTGGATTAGCGACTGTAATAGCTATAGCACCTGTTGATGTAAGAGGTTTTAATGAGAGTTAATTGCAAAAAAGTATTATGTTTATAAAAAATAAAAAGAATGGTTTATTATAACTGCAACACCTACAAACGGCCAAAACGAGGTATAGAACTTAAAAGGAAGATGTACAGAGTTTAGGGTGGCAAAATAGTTACCATTGACTCACCAGTCAATAAAGCTGCAATAATTTTTTGGTACAAAGGAATATCCCCAACATAATCAGCGCCAACTAAAAAAGTTTTGACCTGTCCATTTACACATAAATTTCAGACTATTACCGAAAACACTCCAGAACAAGCTATTTTGGGCCGGATCACAGCCTTACAGGTTCATATAGCCCAATCCTTAGACCTCCATAAATGCATTGGCGATGTAAACCAGCAACTATTCCTTTCCAAAGTGCTGACAAACGTTCTTCCCTAGCAATGGTAGCCAAAGTACCCAACAAACCACTATATTTTGGAAAATTAACTTCATCACCAACAGCTTTCTTTTGGAGCTGTAGTCTGACTTTGGCAGTGTCCAAAGGAATGGTACAGAACTACAAAACCATGAACACAAATGTTTATGTAAAACAAGAAAGCTACGCATAAAAGGAAATAAAAGCAAGTATGGGAAACACCTCTCTGAATGTTGAGTGAACAATTTGAAGGATTGAACAACAATGGTTCAATTAATACACGAAGTATCTATAATGCCACATCACATCAATTTTATGAAAACAAGTATTCCATATCAATGTTTCAATGCTACCATCTAAAGCTAATTTACAATATATCCGTCGATAAATCAGTACAAAAAAAAAATTATGCCAAGAACATCCTCAACTTATGGAGATTTATAATTGAAATAGTAGCAATTGAACATACATTACTTACAAAAAAGCCAAACATCTAAAATCTCGCTGGGCTAGTACCACATGGCCTAATTCCCACAAAGCTTGATGATTTTTTACAGCACAAAACATTTAAACATTCAATCAAATACCCAGAAAGAAGGAGCTAAAGGAAAAAAGAAACTGAATCATCAACAGGCGAATTAAGCAACTATAAAAGGCAGGCGTAATAGTAAGCAATGAGCTTCAGATGAAAACATTAAAAAGCTGAAATATGCATATAACTACCAACTTAATTCAAAAAATGTCATCCTTTTCCCCATTAAAATAGCAACCAAGACCCAAAATAATCACGAATGACAAACAAAATAAACAGAAAAGAAAAGAGCATATGTAAATTTTATACCATAGATCGTGAATACCTCGGCAAAACAAGCAGCAAATGCACTGCAAAGAAAAGTTTCAGCGAAGGAAAACCTGAGATCTGCCATTAAGGACAGAAAATGAGAAATGGGTAGCCAAGATCTGGGCCAATAAAAGGAAAGAAATTGGTTGAGTGACAGTGAAACAACGAAAGAAGAGTGAAAGCAACATAAATAAGAAACTGGGTAATTAAAAAAATGCCTTCATTCGCAACCATTGAAGGTAGTGTAACTGGGTTTTTCACTCGCTTTCTTCTTCTTTCTTTTATTTACGTCAATTTTTGCGATAAAACATTAAATTATCGTTTTATTTCACATGCAGAAGGTTGTTGGTTTTGTATTAGACCATTTAACGAATCGGTCATGTTATCAGTTTATTAGTTTAATCGATCGAATTAATTCTGACCACATGTCATAATTATTTAAAAAATTAAATAAAAATATCAAAAATATTTAATAAAAAATAATTTTTTATATTACAAGTCATATTCAAAGCAAGTCATATCATATATAAGTTAAAAATCATAAAATCAAGTGAAACAAAATATTCAAATTAACTACAACATAATATTTAAGGTAAAACATATTAAATAATAATTATAATTATATAATTATAATTAAAAAATAAATTTGAGGCTAAAAAATCATAACAAAATGATATTGTTTGATTTATTTTTTTTAAAAAAAATAATCTCATATGACTAAGAAACATAAAAGAGCATCCCAAAAGTCTAAAGAGTAAAAATATGAGAACAAAACAATCCCACATGGCTAAGAAACATAGAAGAGCATCACAACTAACTTCTATAAATAATAGAGGTAATTTGACATTCAAAATTATGGATCCTTTTGGTGAGCATTGAGTGAACTATTCTTTCACTTCAACCAAGCTCGAATTTTAAGCTTCAATCGAGCTTCTAAATTTTTTTTTGAGTTCAAGCCTTTTTGAGTTCAAGTTTCAATATTATATTTCGAGTTTGAGTTGAACTAGATATTTTTTAGCTCGTGAGTTTGAGTTGAGTTGAGCTTACTTTTAAAGTTTTCAAGTTCGAGTCGAGCTCAGCAATACTCGAGTTCGACTTGGCTTGTTTAACAAACAACGTTGTTTGGTTTAATTTTTAAAAAAAAAAAAAATTGGCGGGTTTTTTCGGTTTTCAACCGGTCCGATTCGAACGGTTCAGCGGTTCTGACCGGTTCACTAGTAGCGGTTCAACAGGTATAAATTGAACCGGACTAGGTAACAGATTAAATACGGATCGATAAAATTTCACTTTCAGATTAATCAAAAATTCAAAAAAATTGGGATTTTAGATACATTTAGCCCAATAAATAAGTAACTCACTAACCCATTAAAGTTATAATCTAATAAAAATTAGAATTTTTAATTATTTATTGTGTAGTAATTATATATATATATACACACATATATTCACACAATAGAAGTATTGAGTAAACTACATTAAATCACAAAATTTAAAATTAATTTTTTTATCAAATTAAATTTTATATTCAGATCCAAATATTCAAATATCTAATTTGAAAATTTGGATATCCGATTTTTTCGAATTGGATCTGGATCACCATTTTAGATATTCAAAATTTTTGAATATCTGAAATTTCGGATCAAAATAGATCTGATATCCGAATTTGCACACCCCTACCCCCATCGTTGTCGTAAGTATCTTCCTCCCAACATGACCGTTGTTCTAGCCCAAACGTCTTTCATGCAACCAATCCGATAAGGTAAACTTTATTTTTTTTTTATTTTTTGTTTCAAACTTGGGTGGTCGTCTAAGTCATCATCGATGGGTGCCGCCTTACCGGCTATCGGTGCCTTCACCAGTAGTGGTCATAGTTTCCCGTGTGCGGCGGCCGCCATCTCATCCCAGCTTTCCCTAATCCCCCAATTCCCAAACCATAATCATAACCCTAATTTTCTAATTAGGCTAATTATAAAACTCTAATATCCTAATTGAGTACTATAATTCTCATATTAGAATGCTAATTCCAATAATTGAACCCTAATTTCTATATTAGAATCGTATTTACCAAATTAAATTTTGAATTCCCAAATTGAATCCCATATGTTGTGCTGATACGTTGGCTCATGTGTACCAGTACGCAGGCAATGAGTATCGGTATTAGATACATACCAATACAATAATTGCACAAAGTTATTTATTTCATATAGGTGTATTGGTACTCTAGTAAAGCGTACCGGTACGATATGTTTGAATTGTACAATTTTATGTTAAGTTTAAATGCATACAAGCTTAGATTTTATCTTTTTAATGTAGATAATTGATCTAAACTTAACGTCTTTAAAACAAGTTAAGATGATGAAGTCTAAGCGTTATATTTACATTAATCCAGAGAAGACAAACAACGAGGTACATTCATTACAATTAATTGAAAATTTTAATAATAGTGATGAATTTCTTTTTGTCAATATATATTATTTAAGACTATTGTTGCTATATTTATTTATTTATTTTGTATACATATAAGAAAAAGTTGAAGTTGTACATGAGGAAAAGATAAGAACTCCTTATCAGAGTGATCACAAGTTCGAGAAGCTCATTCATTCGATACAAAATATTGAAAAAAATTACTATAATGAATGGTTAATTCGAAAAATTAAAAGTTTAATTTGAAAAAAATGAAATGGCCAATTTAAAAAATTAGTGAGCATATTAACATCGAGTAATGTTAAAAGTTTAATACAAGATGATGATTCAGTAAAATGAGAATGTAAACATAGTCTGTCTTTAAAGGATGATATTTTAAATATTAGATCATAAGAGACTAATTTATATAGTGTTCCATTGAAAGATGAGAGTTTAGAAAATAAATCACACATAGAGGAAGGATTAAGTGTCGCGTCATTGAAGGAAGAAACTGATAGTCGTATTAAAAAATTGAGTTTGTCTCCATTTATTAATTGTGATTGTGATTATTATTCTTTCTCATTAGAACGTATTGGTAAAAGAAAACTTAAAGTTAATTCTGAAGACAACATCAAGACTAACAGTGATGGTTTTCCAAAAATTCCAAACGAGGTTTTTAACTTTCAACTTAGTCCCCATCAATTTCCTAGTCAATTAGTTACGTTGAAGCAAACTCCAATGATTAAAAAAATTAGGCCTAAAATGTCTAACGATCCTAAGGCTTTCTCAAAAAGTAAAGACTCCCAACATAAAATAGAGCGTGAGATGTTCGATTGCACGTTCTGATTTTACCAATGATCCAAAGTCGAAAGATATGACATCGAAAAAGAGCTAGAACATCTAAAGTGAATACAAATGTATGTATAAATCATTATTTATTGGTTATATTTCTTTTTAAACTTTGATATTATTTTAATGCAATATAAATGTTTTTAAGAGTTAAATGGTTTCCATGCAGTATAAATATGAGGTAGGTGATTTGTTATCAGAAACTTCCAAAGAAACTAGTATGATAAAATGCGTACAAACAATATTTGGAGTTCTTAACGCTTGAAGAACGCAAAATTTGTACGAATGTTGCTACTTGGAATGATACATCCAACACTTTTTATATGGCCAAAAATAATAGTTTGGACGTTGACAATGCTCGTATTATTTTTCCATAAAAATAGTTATATGATTGGGAATTATAAATTAGATTATTAAATCTTTTACACGATAAATATTTACTATTTTTTCTGTTATTAATACAAGTGTTTGTATTGTTTTTAAATATTTAATAGTTTATCGATCTCTATGTGTATGATTTGCACTTGAGACAAGAGCTTATGCGAAAGAAGTTATATTTGTCTCTGTCCTTTCAAGTAAAAAATAGGTTAGGGATCACATTATTTTTAGTTTAGGATTTCATGAGATTTTCAAATTTAATGTTTGTCTTAGAGTTTTCTTACTGAATATTTCACACACGCTCAGAAGTCAGGAAAGAATATTATGATTTTCAAATTTCATTCCCAATGGATAGAGAACTTTATACTTATTGATAGTAGTAATGTTGAACATGTATATTTATAATTTTTTCTTTACGTGTATGTAGTTGACAATGATTTTTAACTCATATGATTTAACAAGTATATGTTCCTTTACATTATGATGAAGGCAATCATTGATTTTTATTAGTTGTTGATGTTGTGGAGGGACATAATTACGTTTTGGACTCTATTGGCGTCAATGAAGTTAAAAATATTGCACAAAATATTATAAATTCTTTATTCATTTATGAGAACTAATAAAATTCGTGTATTTTTTAACAATTAATTTCTTAATTTTTTTGACTTATTATATCAGTTGAGTAAAGCTCCACTTATGTATGAGGGTCATGCTCATTTGGATGGATTATTTGAAGATGATGCAAAATTTTCTATCCATTTTCTTGAATTACCGAAGCATCCAAAATCGTACGTAATTTAAATTTAAAATAAAAGTTAATATTGATTTGTTTGTGAATTATTTTATTTTATATTGGATTCAGAGATGATTGTGACATGCACATATAGAAGTATATAGAAGCCGAAAACAAAAGTGATTGGTCAAAGATTATTTTCATGGTAAAGTATACCATGTAGTTTCATTTAGTTATTGTGTGATATTGAAGAATTTGATATATTTATTGTGTAGAAGCAACAAATATTAGTTGAAAATTTGAGAATTTTGGCAAAACTTGTCACAAACAACCTGTAACACCCCTTACCTGGTCCAAACGTATAACCGAGTAAGAGATGTCATGTCAATCATAGAAACAATATATGGTCTAACATATATTACTAATAATCATCTCATATTTTTGGTGTAGCATGTTTCAAAACACTGATTTACTCCAGTAAAAGTAACACATAGTTACACCGATGAAATTTAACATATGGTTCAAATCACTAAGCTTATAAAAAATTACAACAGTTAAAAACACATAAATCCAACATTAAACTCATAACAAACTTACACCAAAAAATTTGGTTTCCAACCTCAAAACCTGAGTTGCAACCAAAAAACCTGGATTCCAACATAAAATATGGTTCCTCACACATAATTCAAATATTAAACTCATAATAAATCTACACCGGTAAAACTAATATTTAATATACCCATG